TGATGGCTCCCCAAAATATCATTCTCTACCTCAATCTCCCCAACATTCACATCACCCCCAACCCAAACAATGCGGGTGCAACAGGACGCAGAAGGCGAACCTACCATCGATGGTCTTCCAGTGGTTGCTTGGCAACAGTTTAGAGTACGGAGGTGGAGGAGTTTCTGGAAGGGGGAAGTGATGAGGAGGCGGGAGAGAAGAAAAAAGAAGGTTAGAATTGCCCATCAAGATGGCCTGAGCTTTTGACATAAATGTAAGCACGGCCTAGCAGAGAGGCCTGCTAGGAACGACACGGCCTAGTAGAGAGGCCTGCTGGGAACGACACGGCCTAGCAGAGAGGCCTGCTAGGAACGACACGGCCTAGTAGAGAGGCTTGCTGGGAACGACACGGCCTAGTAGAGAGGCTTGCTGGGAACAACACGGCCTAGCAGAGAGGCCTGCTGGGAACGACACGGCCAAATCAGAGAGGCCTGCTGGGAACGGCAAGGCCTCGCGATCCAGGGCCTGCTCTCTGGGACACAGAACTCGATCCCACCACGGCCGCCCTGGTGGAATTTAAAATCGAATCCGGAATTGGGAACCAGTCACGGGGATGGTGACTGTCAGGGGTCACTAACAGGGGAAGGAAATCTGCCGGATAGACTCCAGGCTGGGCCTACACGTGACTTGAGACACCCCACATGCAGCCTTGGGATCAACTGCCCTCTGAAATGGAGCGAGCTAGATACTTGGCTGCCTTAAAGCCAATAGAATTCCTCCAATTCACATTAGATCCCAAATGAAATAAATTTCCTGTCTTGTCACCTCATCCATTTTGACCTCCCGTTCCAAAAACCATCTGCAAACCCACTTTTTAATTCTGTCCTGGGGTGTGGCATCCATTTGCTCCCTGTATTTGCCCCTTGAAGGGAGTTTCAGAGGGTCAGTGCCGAGGGAGTGGGCACTGTCGGAGGGTCAGCGCTGAGGGAGCGGGTGCTGTTGGAGGGTCAGCGCTGAGGGAGCGGGTGCTGTCGGAGGGTCAGCGCTGAGGGAGCGGGCGCTGTCGGAGGGTCAGCGCTGAGGGAGCAGGCGCTGTT